AGGCGTTATCTTTATACATAGATAAGGCTATGAAATACTTTGTAAGCAAAAAATTGAAATTCAAACTGCTTTAAAATATGAAACAGAAACACTGCAGTAGCTATGTGACCCCAAGACCTTATGTAGGTCATCTGGAAATTTGTAATGAAAATAAACATCCAAATAAAGCTAAGGTACTGAAAACAGTTTAGCTCAAATGACCTCAGATTTATAAGCAGAGCAGCTGGCAAAAGAACCTAAATGAATCATAAGGCTGCCCATCCAAAATACATCAGCCTAAAGCAATTAAAACACACACACATTTTGGTTTAATCTGAATAACTTACATTTAATAAGACCCTAGGAAATAAGATGAAAGTGTCAAATGTAAAAGAAAACTGACATGCTATAGGTGCTAAAATGAACATATACACAATAGACAATACTTTCTAAGGTGAATTTTTGTATTATGACTAACAGAATTAATAATCTCAAAGACAAATCTAGCTTTACAAATCTGGGACCTTGGGCCTGGAGGTATAGCTCAAGTGGTAGAGCATATGCTTAGCAAGTGTGAAGCCCTTGCTTTGAACTGGAGTTCAAACCATAGTACTGCCAAAAACAAACAAATAAATCTGGGACCTAGTCTACACAGCAAAACAGACATTTCACAAGTATCTGGAGAAAAAAAGGAAGCGGTGGACAAGTCAAGTAAATTTGGGAGGGAAAAAAGAAAACAATAGATAAAAAGTCAGTATTTTGTGTTTCAATGACCCACACGAAGGTTGCTGATGTAGAAGTAAGGAATACATGCACGAAGAGTTAAGATGTTTTTCCTAATTTCCATTTTCTTATTTATAACTTGCCTCAATAATTTGGGTTATATATTAGTTTTGTCTGTTTTACTTTGTTTCATTTTTTGAGATAGGGTCTAGCTATGTAGCCCAGTCTGGTCTTGAACTCTTGCTTCCTGAGTGCTGGGATTATAGATATGCATCACCTACACACAGCAAGGCTGTATTAAATTTTAAACAGAAAGAACTTGACCAGAGCCAGCAGCTGGACTAGGCTCAGAATAGAATTTATTTTAACTAAACAGAAAAAACCTAGTCACCCATAATCAGTGACGTGTAATTTCTACTAATAATTTTAGTTCCATCTTACTCCACTCATAAATGAATCACCCTATACTATTCGAATCTCCCAAACTTCAGAAGTGAATTTCAATACATGTGATATAAACAGAGAAAGATCTTAAAGATTTTAAGATATAGCCTTAAAAATTTACACAACCTTAAAACATAAGCCTTTTTGACTAAAAGCAGAGAGCACAAAATTTAAAGATTATAAAAGTTCCAGGGAGTCAAAGACTACTTGCATTCAATACCAATGATAGTTTCCATAATAGTCTTATTATGAGATGGTACACATGGAAAACACAAGATTCTGGACTTTAAAAAAAATCTGCATTTTAACAAGTTAAACTAGCACAAATGGTCATTTATCTTCAGGCAACAGTGTTCTCAATCACCAAATTACCATTCTGGTACAATAATCAAAGACATCCCCTATCCACACACACATATACACACAAAGCCAGAAAATGAAATTTAAAAGTAGATGTTTGGATCTGTAAAATAGATTTCCAAGTACCTGCAGAGGAAGCTAAAGGCAAGATCCCACACACAATGTAAACTAGTCTGCTACGCCCAATTTCTAAAACATGTGATCCTTATCAGGAATTCTTACCGGCTAACAAATTCCTTAAACAAATGAAAGTTGTCTCCATAAAAAGGATACAACTAAGTGAATGAAATATGATAACCAGAAGCTTTACTTAACTAATTTTCTGTATTAACAAGCTCCTTTCCTAAGTAAATGGCTTTTATTCCATACCTACAAACTATACCTATGCCTCTTGAACTCAACTCACTACTTAGGAATCTGTCTTATGCTTGGAATCTCATTTTTCCTGCATTAAAGCAGTACTTGAAAAACATTACCATATACATGACAAGGAACAAAATTCACAAGCCTAAGGATAGCACAAATTCATTGATCAGGAAAGTGATTGGTTATCTCATCTAACAGTCTGGTGAAAAGTGCCACTGAAATGAACACAAAGAAATACAGTAAGAAAATGAAGTGGAAGCCAGTGTCCCCCACTTCCACCCCCTCCCTCCCCATAAAACTACAGGATTCCTTGATAGGATAAATGCCTGAATAATCTTTTCTTTTTCTTTCGTTTTTTAAAGGATTTCTGAGGGCTGGCGGCTGGCTCAAGTGGTAAGCATCAGGTCTAGAGTTCAATCCCCAGTACTGCCAAAAAAAAAAAAGTTTCTAAGAAAATAAGGAGTCCATAACCTCTATTCAGCTCAATGTCTGGCCCAAGTGGATATACTAGTAGCTTTTAAAATTCACATAAACCTAAATACAAGCCAATGTCGTCCTTGTATGAACCAAAAGAGGTTATGATTAAAATTTTTAAACAGAAAACACACAAAGGAAAAAGATTTTTCTTGTTTTTAAATATTTTAATGGAAAAAAGGCCAGATTTCAAAACAGTGCTAACATTTAAGCAGATGAATGAAACACAGTAAGACAAAAGGAGTATCTATCTTCAAGACACAATAAAAATAAGGTAATCTTTACCCGCAACGATTACAACTTACTGACCAAGCTACATGGTAAAGAAAAATCATTTCAAATTCTGTTTTTAATTTCTACAATAGTGTCTGAAGTTGATGGGCTCTCCCAGAGGGCTTGGATCTTCAGCAACTCGCAATTAGCCCTCAATTTCTATATTTTAAATACATTTGCTTACTTATTCTGGGCAAACACCCACCAATTCTGCCCTAGCTCGGAAACACTCAACTTGTTCTCCTAGGAGTGTATGGGTGGTGCGTTTAGAGGGAAGGTTAACCCCTCTGAGCAGTGTTGACGGTTTTCTAAGTAACTGATCCACGAGGGTTTTCTTCTTCTCCTTCTCTCTCTTGTGCTGCTCTTTCCCCCTACGCTGTACTTAAAGTCCGGGCTCCTCAATCCTGCCTGGATCATTCACCCTTGTCCAATCCCATACGGTTCCCCCACTTTCCGCGCGGGTTGGCATCTGGGGGCCCCGCGCGAAGCCCTGCGGCTTGGCGCTACCTCGGCGCGGATAGGGCGGACGGCTATCGCCGGGGAGCAGGCGTGGGCCAAAGCCGAGGCGATTTCTGACTGCTCATCACCCGGCCCCGCGTGGCTCAGGAGCTCCGGGCCGCCGCGCAAGCCAGGAGTGCAGCTGTCGCGGAGCCGGAAGCTAATCGCGGCTCCTGCGCCCCTTTGACAGGCCGAGCAGGAAAAGAAAGGGGCTCACTGCAGCTAGTAGCTTCAGACCTTGGGCTAGGAAACCCGGAGAGCAAAACCCCCGCCCCGACCTGAAAGCAAGCGGGAGACCGCGGAGCCATCACCACCGACACAGCCCAGCCCAGCAGGGGCCCGCCCAGGGGCCACTCCCCAAGGGAGGTAGCCAGTCACTCGCTCGCCCTGCCGGGCCCGTTCCCGAGGGGACGGGCTCCCGCCCGCCCTCACACATTGCTCTTCACGCCAGGCCCCCAGGGCTTCGTCCACCTCACCTTTGACGACGCGGTCAGCCCCGGGAGGAGGCGGTGGGGGCGGGGGCGGGGGCGGTGCAGCCCGAGCCGGCTCCGGGGCGGCCATGCTGGGCCCGGGGCTCGGCTAGGCGCTGGGCCGGGCGGGGTTGGGGGCGGGGGCGGCGGCTACCAGAGCCAAGCGGCGGCGCCGCCGGGGAACATGGCGGACCCTCTCTCCCTTCAGAGGGGCTAAGACCGGCATGCACCGCGCGTGCGGGGGCGGAGGCAGGACAGGCTCCAGGGACTTGGGCAAAATTACTGAGGCTAGGAGAGAAACAGGACGAGGCCAAGGGATCGGGTTAAAATTCTTTGCATGCAGATACAAAAGAGAGGATGCAGTCCCTAGCTAGTTGCAATATAAATGGGGCAAGCTCCAGGGACTTGGGCTAAATTACTGAGACTAGGCGAGAAACTGGACGAGGCCAAGGGATCGGGTTAAAATTCTTTGCATGCAGGAACAGTGCAGTCCCTAGCTAGTTGCAGCAATAAATGAGAGCAAGAAAAAACACTTAGCTCCCATGGAGTTCCCAGTAAAATGAGAAGAAGTAATCAAGCCTCACAATTCTCTACTAATAGAGAAACAAATGTAGACCAACTTAGCTATTAGGCCTGAGTACTAAACAGGTTGACTAGAGACAAGAAATAGAGGAAGCATTGTAGGTTCTAGACCACAGACATGACCAAAGTGGAGTTTGAAACAGAATTCTGACCCTTGTCTTTAGAGTTTGTAACTGCCAAGTTTGCAGACAGAATAGAATGCAGCTGAAGCACTCTAAACTCCAAGGGCTAATAATAAAGAGGAAACAAGGGAATGATACCAAGAAATATTGAAAGAATCTACAGGATTCACCTGAAAAGAACATGGCCTCTTTCTTGATTCATTCAGAAAACAGGTTTGGAAGGCAGAGAGATCCCTATTTCCTGGGCTCAGAATCTGAGCACAGGTTAACTTTTATAGAGACCCGAAGTGATCAGCATTCATGGGGGTGGAGGATTGAAGGTCTAGAACTGACTGTCGCATCAATAATGACTACAACAGTGTGTATGTGACACCAGATATACCGAATTGTGTTCAAGAACTAGCATATCTATTAAGATCTATGTATCTTGATGGCTGTAGGATCTAAACAGAATAGATCAATAAAATGTGTTCAGGATCTGTTTATAACAGATAGTGATAATTAGATAAACAGTAGAACAAAGGTCTCAACACCTTTCTACTTCTTTGTGTCAATCTCAATGATTCTGAGCTCTGGGATGAAAAATGAGAAAGCCCAAAGGACATTATTTGGAAAGGAAGCATACAAAGTAACTTTTAGAAGGGAGGGACTTTTGGGAGTGAGAAAGTGGTGAAGATGGATCTTTCTAGAATGAAGTACCATACCCAAGGTCAAGGAGAGGAAGCCCATGGGAAAAAAGCAAGCAAGATAGGGGGCGTATCACAGACCTGTAAGGAGTGCAACAAGAGGACCTGGACCTGGAGTGAGTTTGTCAGCATAGTTTGAATGGCCACAGAAATCCTAGGAGCTGAGGAATGGAAGTGTGTAGTATACTGAGTGCCTCTAGCAAAAAAGGGATAGCAAACGTGCTAGCAGCAATAATAACAAGGAAAAATACTCTTTTTAAGGGTCCATTGACTCCCACCTTGAGAATATATTTTTCAATTCCTCTTCAACTCCTTTTACTCAAAAAACATTTCATATGTCCAGGTATCCCCATCCCAGTATAAAAGAGCAAGAGCAAACAAAAGGAAAGAAAAACAAGGGATTACATAGAACTATCTTATAGATTTATTAATGAAAAATACTTTACAAAAAGAGTATGTTTTGCCCTAAAATAGTTCAGCTAACTCTGAGGGTTTATAATGGTGACTGAGCAAGTGGCAGTAATGGCTCTGCTGCTGAGGACAGGAGGGTATGTTAGTGTGCCTGATACCATCTGTTCAGAGGGGCAAATATTATGTTAGCAGCTCCATATTCTAGGCCTATGGTGTGGGGCACAGGACCATAATACCTGACAGGCCATAATACCTATGTGGCAGACTACCCTGAATGATATGGTCAGGACCATGACTACAGGGCTACCTGTCCCTCCAAGGATGGGGAAGACAGAGGGTCAGGTAATAGGAACAAGTACATTAAAACAAAGAGTATAAGTTGGGAATACAGTAAGTTCCAGAGGATGAGGGCTCAAGTGGATATGGGGGTATAACAATACCCAAAATAAAATGATGACCTTAAGACACTAAGAAATGGCTAGTGTCCAGAATAGTATAATGGATACAACTTTAAAGTGACTCAAATAAAGCCCTAAACAGGAGCTGCTTTCTTTTGGTAGGGGAATTGATGTTAGAATTTCAAATATTCCCTCCCAAAAAGCCAGGTCTCTTTTAGAGGTTCCTGGCACCTGTAGGAGAAACTTCCAATTCTATGTTGAAATGAGAATAGCACAACCATGGTGGAAATGCAGGTAAATAATTCTGGCACAGTAGTTTTATAGAAAAAGGTACACCTCCAGAAAAGGAAAGGGGTGACCCTTACCACCTGCTGTGCTGCAGTACTCTAGCCTTGTTCTGCTCCCTTCCAGGGATATCTGCTAGAACAAACAGAAACCTGTCTTCCCCTGTCCTCCTATGCCTAGATTGGGAGGCATAACTGCTTTGCCTCCAGTCATTATCTGGGGGCATATCTACTCTTCGTGGTCCAGGTGTTCGGAACCCCATAACAGGACCAGAATTCCAAGCTGACCTCAGGGGTAAATGAATGCTGCTGGATGTTGGAGATACAGAGTGAACAGTGGGCAAATGAGAGTGTGAGTGGAAAAGATCCCCCCAGGTTTGAACATTAGGGACCTGAGGGCCCTGGCTTCTTTCTGGTAGTGTGGCAGTATGGGTTAGCTGAGGCTTGCATCCTGGAGTAGTTAGGAATCTGGTCCCAATGTTCTGATTGGTCTCTGGCCAGGGTCCCCCGGAGGCATTGGCTCTCGAACGATGTGGGAGACTCTGGTAGTTCAAAGTCCTTCCTGTGTACTTGATCCCTTGGGAAGTTTCACCCCTGTCACACATAGCCAGAAACTGCTGGACACTCCTCGAAGTTCCTGAGAAAAGAAACCCAAAGACTAAGCATCTTTAGAAAATAATTCTTCCCAAAGGACCACTCCTGGCTGTTCCGCCCAACTTCACTCCTCTGAAAGCATGCACACAAGGGAAAGGAGGAACAGTTTTCTTCGCTTTTGATTTCCTTTTTAAAAATTCCTAATGCACATACAAATCAAGTCATTTAGCTCCAGCTTGAGCAAATGAAATAGTCTCTTAGATGTCGCCATACTTACCTCACTCCACTATAATCCTTCCTCCAACACACACCCCTCCATAATACGGCAAATATACTCCTCTTGCAGTGACTGTGACTCTAATCCTACAACGACTCTAAAACCTCACTCAGGTTTTCTTAATATGGTACCTTCATTCCAGTTAAGCTGCCTCTGCTTAAATTCTTGCTCAGTCTCTGAGATCTCTGCTTTAGTTCATACTACTTCTCCAACATACACAAATGTAGACTGTCTTTTTTTATACATTTATTTGACCTTGGCACTACTGATATCATAGGCTGATAATCCTTGGTTGGGAGTGGAAAAGGACTGCCCTGTGTATTTTATGATATTTAGCAGCATCCTTGGCCTCAACTCATCAGCTGCTAGTAGTGCCTCCTCTTTCCCCATTGAGAACTACTGCCTTAAGCTGTAGGTTCAGCCCATAAGGAGGAAAAGAAGAACATCTTGCTGTGGAGTGTCAACAAAAGCCAGAACGATGCTGTCCATCTCCCTCAGGATCATGTGGGTCTGTACATATGATATGAGTTCTCCAGGCACAGGGTCTTTCCAGTTTCTCATTCACTCTTATCCTCTTACAGCATTCCTCAGCTGAGACTTAGTAAATAAGAGGAAAGAAAATTACCTGATAGAGATGACACTTTCTGTTTGCAGGGGATCCCAAAGACTAAGAATTAACTCCTGTCAGCCACTTAAAAGCTTATTCTATCATGATTGATATAGTTCATTCTCACAAATACCTAAATCCTACGAGTGCCAGTTTAGACCCTGGTCTAAGAATCATGGTGCCTAAGAAATGATTTGGTCATAATTCATTGATATCAATGCCTCATCTTAAAGCAGTAATTCATATCCTTACATCATTCTACCTTGGGACACCCCACCCTCTCAAGAGATGTGCTGATTTTACCCTTAAAATCTCTGGGAAAGGTACCACATTCTGGCTTATAATATTAAGGTTGGGGGAGTTACCTGGGGGTCTATAGGGCTCCCCTGCCAAGCTGGGCATCAGGACATCTGGGGACAGGAACTGTGGTTGGGAAGGATAGACTTGGGGATCAAGGAGAAATATGGGAGGATCATGGATGACAGGGAGGGAAGAGGAGCTGGAACAACGGTGCCCGGTTTCCAAAGGCTTTTTCCTCAAGTTTGATGAATCCTTATAATGAGACAAGACAAAAAAACATAAAGATGAGGATTAACAAACAGCAGGATGTGGTTGGGTAAACACAGTGAGGCAAGCAAGAGGAAAAGGAGGGAACTAGAGCATAAGCATGCCTTATTTTAGAGAGGGACCCAATTTACTCAGCCACTCTCCTTGTCAACTCTTCTAGAAAATGCCAAAGTTCAGATCCTCTTCCCTTCACCACTTTTTATCATATCCATCACCTTTCTAAGCCTACCACTCAGGTCTTTAGCAAACTCTTAGTAGAATGAGAGAGACTGAAAGAGAAATTTGAAGCTAAGGGCTGGAGATGTAGCTCAGTGGCAGAGCAGTTACCCAGCATGTGCTAGGTCCTGGGTCAATCCCCAACACTGCAAAAAATAAAAAAATAAAGGGGTGGGGCAAAGGGAGAAAGAAAGAATATTAAGACTGAGAAATGAAGAAAAAATTTCTACAGTTACTAAGTGTTGGGAACTAAAACAAGTCAAATATCCTCATTAACATGTGAAATACTACTTCATCCAAAATTGAACTTTCTTCCAAACTACTATCCCTGGCACCACATTCTCCTAAGTTTACTCAGACACAACATTGGCATTGCCCTTGACTTTCTATTCCCATTCACAATTCCTTTAGCTGCCAAGTACTGACAGCTATTGCTACCTATGGATTTCATATTTATACTCACCTGGACCCCTGCAAAAGCCTTCAATATGATCGTCCCATCTTCTATCTGCTACCTGCTTACTATGACCTATAAAGTCCTATATGATATGATGTTGCTGATCTTTCTCAACTTATCCCCACCATTCCTGTATCTTTACGCTCTTTCTTAATGTTCCTCAAACATACCAACTCACCCTACCCCAGGACCTTTATATAATGCTGTTACAACAGGAAAGTTCTCCCATGCTGAAACCTTCATATCACTGAGGTATCTGGTCAAATGTCACTTCCTCCAAGCTGATGTCCCTCACTACCCTCTCAAAAATAGCCCTGAGGAAAGCCACTATTACCTCTTTATTCCTAATCCCTTAAAAAAATATATTTTTTGGTGGTACTGGGTTTTGAACTCAGGGCCTCATGCTTACTAGGCAGGCCCACTCTACTACTTGAGCCACTCTACCAGTCCTTTATTCTTCTTTATCATTGCCTGAGGTTATATCATTTGTTTATTGTCTTTCCCCCCTAGAAGAATACTTTTTTTTTTTTCATTTCAGAATTCCTTCACCTTGAACAGTTTGTGGAACAATGCAGGCACTTAGTAAGTATGTAAAATAAAATAATCTATGCCAGTATATTTAATTTCATTTAATGTACTACATGCTATTTCATGTAATACATGCTCATAATACCTATCATGGATACCAAGAGAAGAGCGTTTCAAGAAGAAAAGAATTTCCCTTTCAGCTATCTTGTCTCTTTTTTTCTATCTCCTTTTAGGGTTCTTCAGAAGAACTATCTTAAATCTGATGCTCATGAAGTATATGTCCTGGCCTTTCTCCTCTCTTTGCAATGTTATTTTCCTCTTTTCAGTGGCTAGGATTCCCAGTTCTCAATTTCAAGCCCATCTGTCTTATACCCAAAGGCCTACCAACTATCTCCACTTAAGCATAATATGCCCCCTCCCAAATATATCATTTTTTGGCACATAAAACCTGGGCATTATCCTTGATTTCCCTTTCCCCACATTCAGACATGCAGAAAACAAGTCTCATTTATGTTTACTTCCTAACTGGCTCTAATGTTTACTTCTCTCTCTCCTTCCAACTCCTCACTGTGACCTATAGAGCTCTCTGTGGTCCACAATTTGACCCTTTTTTATATACTTTACTGTCTCACTTGTCAATCATCTCCCCTCACTAGACTGTCCAATCCTGCCATAACAAATGAATCTCCCTTTCCCCAGTACTGGGGATTGAACTCAGGGTCTTATGCTTGCCAGGCAAATACTCTACCACTTAAGCCACACACCTAAACCCCAAATTAGCCTTTTTTAATTCAATTAGTATTTCCATCAGGTCCCTTTACCTGCAATATTCATTTTGTTTCCTCCAGGAAGCCTTTCCTGAAACCTCAAGTCTGGTTTAGACACACCTTCTATTATGTTCCCATAGCAACAAATCCTTACCACATTATAAAACTGCTTGTTTATTTATCTGTACCCTATAGTAGACTGTAAGCTTCATAAAAACAAGGACTGTATCTAACTCACTCACCACAGCATCCCCAGCACAATACCAAGAACCTAAGCTCAACAGCATTTGTTTAAAAGAATGAATCAATGAATAAATGCATAAGAAGTCAGAAGAAAGGAAGCCAACTCTCCTAGTTAGGAATAATAACACTTTATATTATATGCATTGGAAGTATGTGAGAACAAAGGGTAGGCAGAAGAGACCATTTTTCCAAAAAGAATGGCAGATGTTCACTTATTTAGAAACTTATGAACAATAAATTGGTAAGAAAATTAAATGCCTCATGGGAGGGAAACTGGATCTGAAGGACTGATAAGACAGAGACATAGTTTTCCCTGTATATCCTTTTGAACCTTCTTAATTGGACTATTTATTTAAAACCTGTTTTAAAGGGGACTGGGATATAGTTCAATGGTAGAGCACTTGCCTAGCATGTACAAGGTCCTTGGTTCAATTCCTAACACTGCAAAATAAAACCTGTTGTTACTTTTTTTCATTCAAATATTTATTAAACAAATATTTATTGAACATCAATTTTGCAAGAGATACAGCTAGAGCTAGAATGAACTTTTTTTTTCCTTTCTTTTTTTGTGGGGGTACTGCGATTTGAACTCAGGGCCTACACCTTGGGTCACTCCGCCAGTCCTTTTTTGTGATTTTTTTTTTTTTTTGGAGATAGGGTTTCATGAACCATTTACCTGGGCTGGCTTCAAACCACGATCCTCCTGATCTCTGCCTCTTGAGTAGCTAAGATTACAGATGTGAGCCACCGGCACCTGGCTTAGAATGAACTTCTAATCCAGACTTTTTCTACTCAGTCAACTTACATTTAGAACGAATGGGTGAGTCAGCCCTGAAATATGTGTCACTACAAAACTGGAGACATTTCCTTTGCCTTCTAAGAGCTCAAAGTCTGGATTTCTGGAGGCTGGGAAGTTAAATGGCACTGTACTGGTACCTGCTTAGCACCTGGTAAGGGTCCTCTTGCTGAATCATTACATGGCACAGAACATCATGTGGCAAGACAGAGCAAATAGGCTAGCTCATGTCTTTCTTCCTATTCTAAGCCTGTTTTTACATTTTTAGTGAAAAATAACATGGTGGACAAGCTTCAATGAACTGGTGCCTTGCATCTTGACCTCTATTGTAATGTAAACTCAACTCTTCTTGAGCACATATATAAAATTTTCAAAAGGATGTATTATGTATCAATCTAGCCAAGACAGTATTTGAGTTTGGCTTGGGTTTTCCTGTCCCTTACCCTAACATTACTGCATTAGTATCCTATGGAAATCCTTTAAATCATTTTCTTTTTCTTGCTAATGTACATGTTTCAGGTTTGTTTTTGTTTTTATTTTAATGTCAGTACTGGGTTTGAACTAAGGACCTCATGCTTGCTAGGCAGGCACTCTTCCACTTGAGCCACTCCATCAGTCCCAGGTTTTGCTCTTGACTGAAAACACACTGGGACTCCACTCAAACATGTACTGGGGTAGAGAGTCAAAAATGAAACTATACTCTATCCTATTTCTTACTTTATTCCTTTGATGAGTACTGTGGGTTCTGACCCAATCAGCAGCCTATACAAGGCTTCCATGACTTCTGCTATGGTTTGGATGTAAAGTATCCCACAAAAGACTTGTATGTTAAAAGGCTTGGTGACCAGCTGGTGATTGAGAGGTGACTAGATCATAAGGTGCTAACCTCAAAAATGGATTAATCCATTTATGAAATCATCAATGAATGGGCTATTAGGAGGTGGGACCTAGTTGGAGGAAGTAAGTTAGAAGCATGCCTTTGAAGGATATATCTGTCCCTGACTTTGTTGTCACAGTCTCTCTGCTTCTCAGTTGCCATGAGGTGAGCAGCTCTAATCCATCACTTCCTCTCTGCCTAGACATTCTGTCTTACCCAGGCCCCAAAGAATGCAGCCAGTGACCATGGACAGAAACCTTGGAAACCATGAGCCAAAATAATCTTTCTTCCCTTGTTTTCTCAGATATTTTGTTACAGTGATGGAAGCTGACTAACACAACTCCTCGCATCCTAGGGAACTCTGTAACATACCCTTTCAGAACTGCTCCAGTAAAAGGAACATCCTATGGGCTCCAAATAAGTGTGTGTAAATAAAATAATAACTATAGGCCCTAATTTTTGCTGAATGCACATAGCTTTCCCAAAATTACAACCTTCAGTTTCTCTCTGCTTCTTCATCTACACTGTATTTTTACTAGCAAGGAGGAGGATGGTCTGAATAAATAAACCCTAATGCTACATACAAAACTGTGGGAAGAGACTGGAGCCTCCTCCCTCTCTCAGACAATGGTGCCACTGTGATTGTGTGAGATGCGGCAAAAGTTCTCTGCACCATAATGTTCATCCCCTCTATATTCCCTGCTGAGACCTTGTCAAGCTGCACCCTTCAAACACACAGGCAAACATATAACATCAGACCTGTGGTTTTCCACAGACCCTGTTCTCAGCAATATGGGAGACAAGTGGGTAAGACTCACTAGTAAACATTTGAAGTAGATATATTTAAAAGGTAGTGGCCACACGGCAATCTCTTACTCAAAAGCAGAGTGATCTCAGAACATGTTCTCTTCAGATAGCCCTACATGACCATGCCTCTGCCTTACTACCAACCCTACCACTCACTCTTTAACACATCACCCAGGTCCAAGACCTTAGCATTTGAGGCTGCTACCTGAGATGCAGGCACTGTGCTCATTTCATGGAGAATATGCTCCATTTCTGCTGTTGGAGTCTTTGAGAGATGGAGACCAGGTGCTGAATGCAATCTCCTCCCCTCACCATCTGCAGAGCCTAAGGAGAAAAACATAAGTACAAGTTGAAGCCATCTCTCTTCTGGGGCCTAAATTCTGAACCTGAAAGCACAAACTCGGGAATTCTTGTTTCATTAAAAAACAAATATGTAACCCTGAATCCAATGGGAGAATGTGTTCCTAGAATTTAGAAACAATAATTTTTAGAATATGAATGGATTCCTATAGGTCACAAGTGTCACAACCCTTGAAGAACTTTGTAGAAAAGGAGCTTTTTGAGAATTAACCTAGAAGGTAACACACACGCACAGGAAATTAATGTGAGTCAACTCCCTGTATAGCTATCCTCATCTCAACCAGCAAAAACACTTGTTCCTTCCTATTATTGCTTATACTCTCTCTCCAACAAAATTAGAGATAAGGGCAAAATAGTTTCTGCCGGGTATTGAGGGGGTGGGAGAGGGAGGGGGTGGAGTGGGAGGTAAGGGAGGGGGTGGGGACAGGGGGGAGAAATGACCCAAGCCTTGTATGCACATATGAATAATAAAACAATAAAATATATATATATATTTTATATATATATAAAAAAAAAGAAAAGGAGCTTTTTGGACAAACAGCTGAATATCCCCATCCTAGTAACATTTCATTTTTTGTAAACATACTCTACTCTACTGGAGCTGGATTCAAGACTTGTAATATTAGAGAGTACATTATCTAACATGGTTATTTTCTAGAGTATCTGTGGTAACAAAGGAGACCATTAGTTCAGAATTTAAATGATCATAGTCATCATATATCAAACAACCTCATTTCCTATAACAAGAAAATGAGTTCTAGAATCTAACAGATAGTAGTTAAACCAGAATTAAAATCCAAGTCTCAAGTTTTCAGCACAGTACTCTTCATCATCTCATCTGGTATTTTCCTATTACTCAGCAGGAGCTGTTCAAGAATATTTGGCATACGTAAGGCTCTTTTATCCCCACCCTCCTAGCTTCTCTTAACCACTCAAATTCTAAACAACTACTACTGCTACTCTAACCTAGATATATGACTCCCAAGGGGCTGTCCCCAATCCAATTAATTAAGTCTTCCATTCTGAAAATGTATCTGCCCCTGACCTATTATTTCATATATACATTCATGTCTCAATTTGATACTTAGGTTCTAATATATCTGGCTGAAGTATATTATTGATATAAGTATAAAGACTAGTTCTTGTTTTTTGTTTTTTTTGCCTGGTACTAAATGCAGTTGTCCTAATACTGCCTCTGATTCATCTGGGAGATTTTTAAACTACAACTTTTTGTGGTTGGGGGGAGGGTGTAGCTCAGTGGGAAAGCACTTGCCTAGCATGCATGAGGCTCTGGGGTAGGCATGTGTATGCATGCATGAGTGAATTAGCCAGAGAGATATAAAGAGAGACAGAGGGTGGGGGTGAAGGAGAAAGATCCAGCTTCCTACCTCACTATAGATCTGAACTAGAAGGTGGTTCAAGCCTGAAAATCTTTGTTTTAAAAAGGCTTCCCAAAAAATGTAAAAAGATATCCTTTAACATTATTTGAGGAAATGCTATAGCATTATTCGAATCAACCTGGAAAACTCCATTAGAACTGAAAATGTATTTACTCTCTTGCCCCATTCTGACCTAAGAACAGGAAGAAAAAGCACCAACTTGTAACAACTTATCTATAAAGATATTTTCTTCTGGCATTATTTATAGTAGCCAAGAACTAAAAACTATGCCTATCTATAGCAGAATGGCTAACCACATTATAGTATCCTTAATATCAAATATTCCCCAACCATTAAAAAAACTGAGTTGCTGGGGAGAGGGGAGGTGCCACAAACAATGTATACACATGTAAGTAAATGTAAAATCGATAAAACAAAAGGAGAAAAAAAATTGAGTTAAACTAGATTACTTGGTGGATTTTCATGAAAAATTGTTGGGTTAAAAGAAAAAATGATCCCTAAGAAACACTGTATATGCAGGTCTATATAGGATTTTATGAACAGGAAAATAGAAAAGTATGCATATTATACTGCTACAAGGGAAGGTGGAGAACAGAAGGTAGGGACTGATGCAAGGAAAAGAGAAATAGATAAGAAAATGGTCTATAATAAAAAAATAGCATGTGTGCTGTGAACCATTTATAAAAAATTACTTCTGTGTGTTTATATATATATTTTTTTAATTTATTTTTATTTTATATATATTATATATATATGGGGGGGCACAGAACTAGGGTTTGAGCTCAGGGTCTCACACTTGCTACGCAGGCACTCTACCACTTAAGCCATTCCAGCAGTCCTTTTTTGTGTTGGGGATTTTTAAGACCGAGTCTCTTGAACTATTTGCCCAGGTTGGCCTCAAACCTCAATCCTCCTGATCTCTGCCTCCTGAGTAGCTAGGATTACAGGTGTGACCCACCAGCAACTGGCGATTTTTTATTTTTTTAAGTCACTCTTCAGATAGCTATGGGCAGCCAGCTTTAATAATTATAGTTGTAATGATTAGAATTTGGTGTTCCTCTTATCAAACTTTGTGTGATTCCTAGACAAAGAACCTTTTGGTGGGAGTAGATTCTTGTTCTTTTTTTATTTTGCTGTTTTGTTTTTTCAGACAGGGTCTTGCCCAGGCTGGCCTCAAACTCAACAATCCACCGACATCCAACCTGGCATTCTACAACTCGTGACAAGACTTCATCCCTTTTATAGAATATTTTTTGAGCCTTTTGTCTATTTAAGTCCAGCCCCTACACCCGAGATAGGAGAATGTTAACCACCTACAGTTATTCATCCTGTCAACATATTAGAAGTTCTACTACTTAATACTTAAATACTATTAGCTTCCAGAGTCTCAATTACCTGAGTCTATCACAGTTTAGTAGAAATTGCAAATATAACTCAAGCCCTCTTGATTACCATCCTTGTAAGAGCCTATTTTATACTTCTCCAAGCCTCAGAATATTTAGAAATATCATTTACAATCTCTGACAGAATCTACAGATATACATTTTTATAGCAACAGAATTCCACAGATTACAAGTAATCATTTCATTTCCAGATTTAAATCTGTGATGTGAACTTGAGGTATAGGTACTCAGTGCTATCTCATGGAGAGTCAGTGAATGGCGACTTTACAGGCATACTACTTTAAAAATTCTGTGAAGTCTTAGCTAGCAAGAATGAAGCTGAGTTCAAAGCCCAGTATTGGGAAAAAAAAAAATATATCTGTGAAGACTAAACCCAGCACTTTCTAAAGGAATCAAGGAAGGATTGAGGAAAGTCTTAATATTTCTGGTTCAGAATATTTAGGAACATAATTTACAATCTCCGACAGAATCTACAGATATACATTTTTATAGCAACAGAATTCTACAGATTACATATAATCATTTCAGTTCCAGATTTAAATCTGTGATGTGAACTTGAGGTATAGGTACTCAGTGCTATCTCAAGGAGAATCAGTGAATTGCTATTTTACAGGCATACTACCTTTAAAAATTCTGTGAAGGCCTAGCTAACAAGAATGAATGATTTCAAAGCCCAGTATTGGGAGAAAAAAAAAAAAAATCTGTGAAGACTAAATGCAGCAGTTCCTAAAGGAATCAAGGAAGGATTAGGGAAAGTCTTGATATTACTGGTTCAGTATGATCTGGAAATGCCACACTGGAGACTTGGCTCAATGTGGATATCCCTGTTTTAAGATGGACCTAGAAGCTAAATCCTGGGATGTTTAGCATCTAAACCACAGAAGGATGACTTTTCCTCTCAGTCTCCACTCTCAAAGGCCTATGAAACATTCTCCAGCTCTGCATACTGGAGAAGCCATGGGCAAATACTGAGCAGTCTCTATTTATGAGCAGGGAATTGATCTCAGTGATAATTCTGCCCCCATCTCTAGCCCACATCTAGCCCTTGTCCTGAAAGCTTTATGAGTAATGTCAGAAGTTCTACTACCTCTCGCTAAGCTAGGGATACTATCTGTACACGTCACTCCTCCTCTGATGTTGTCTTCCTGCTTTCACCTTTTATGTGTTCTCCACTCTCCTCTACCTTGATTGCATTCTTACCTGTATGGCTAAGTGGATGCCAAGCCACATCCTGCTGTCTCCATCCAAAACAGCCATCTTGAGAAGCTTGAAGACTGGCCTGATAGAGAGATTCCAATTCAGAGGTCTCCTGCTCTGTGTCTTGGTTCCAATGTGGATGCAAAAGAATGTGATTCCTCTCTGGATAGGTTACACAGGTGTGGGAGTCATGGGGGAAGGACTTCACTCCTGGGCCAGGGAGCCCATGTTTAAGCTGAGAATCACAAAGCCTTGTGACATTCACCCAGGAATCCAAAGGCAAAGAAGTCTCTAAATTGATACTGGTTCCCAGCTCACTAGGCCTAGCATCTCTCACTTGGGATGATAGCTTCCCTTTGTATATACCTGGCTCTGCCAACCTAGGCTGTCCTCCCCTAGAGGTTTCACCATTAGGCAGCCCAGAGTCTATGGCAAGAGAATAGTGGTCAGTAGGCTCTTCCCAGGAAGGCAGTCTGTCCCTACCATCCAGAGAAGGTTGCTGTTTTACCCAAGGACAGTGGCCTTTTCCTTGACCCTGTGGAAAAGGAGGCTTAAAGTCAAAAGGGGAAGAGTTCTTCCTCAGACTACCTGGCAAACTTTGATTCTGGGAACCTGTAGCATTCCTTGTGGAGGCACCCTGCATCCTCTGGAACTGCTCTGCCAGAGAGCGAACAAGTCCCTTTGTGCTGGGAAACTCCGATCTACAGGGCTCCTCGCTGCCTCCGATCACTTTTGAAGTCAATAAAGTTTGGAGGTTTTGGGCTTGGAGGCACTGGTTAGTTTTCTGCACAGGATCAGGAGAGTGAAGCACAGATGAAGAAGCAGCAGGCATTATGGGGTGGCAGGCCCTATGAGGAGGAATGCTAGGCTGATCTGATAAACTTGAAGAATTACAGCCTAGGCTGTGTGCATTTCGTCTCTCATAAGTGGCTCCTCGTGTTGGTGTTGGGACCACCAGGGAAGGGTCAGCAGGATCCCTCTTTTCTTGGAACAACTGTTCTTGAGCAATGCCCTTTCCTTCTTGTGGAAGGAACATGTTGCAACTGCAGCTGTCTTCTCTGTGACTTTGCAGCTTACCCTCGGGTGAATCCAATGGCACATATTCTTGGAGAGAATTCTTCTCAGTCTTCTCTGTTGTTTTGGGTAAATGCTGCCTGTGGAACACAGAGTGATCAACATTGCCCACCTCACCTGAAGTCAGAAGCTTCGAGGCAGATCTATTGGGAGAATTGTGCTGTGGGGCAGATGCAGCAAGTGACTCTGGGAATAGTGACGAGTGTGACTCATGGCAGGAAGCAGGTGAGTGGAAGAAAGAAGAACTGGCCCCAAACTCTGAATTTACGCAGGGTTCCAGTTGGGCCTCTCGGTTTAACAATACTTGGAGCGGGATAGACTGTTCACTGAAACAAATGGAGAGAGCCAGTCAAAAGCTGTCTTGATTGACAAGAACACTTCCACAATGAACTGCTCATTCCATTCCCATTTCTAGCTATCTAGAGAATGATGAAAATAAATGGAAAGGCAAGTACAAAGTCAATAGTTTAAAGGTTTGCAAAAAAACAAAAGGCATATAGTCTACTCACACCTAAACAGGTAATGCTAAACCTCTATTAAATGCCCTCACCAAAGTTGCCACAGTAGTATTAAATAGCACTCTGGTCAACATTCTTCATTACCTGTGAAGACCATTCTAATAACATTTCTACTTGCAAATTAAAAACCAAAAACTACTATTCCCACATGCAGATGACATGGAAGGTAAGCAAAACCTGAAAATCAGTCATACCAAACAGCAAAAATCCAGAATGAAGTCCTACCTATGGTCCTATGAGATAGCCTAGTCAAAGGAACCAAGAGAATACAATTACAAAATACAGGGTGATGTGGATTCATGGGATTACAGAGATCAATTACTTTCATAATCTGGGTTGCACCTCATTTAAATGTTTCCTCAAAGTAGTATACTATGACTGTCTTGAGATTTAGGAATGGGAAAAGGGATTAACTGCATTTTGTTGGTTTTTCACAGTGCCCCCAGTGACACCTTGAGCCACTCCACCAGCCCTATTTATGATGGGTATTTTCAAGACAGGGTCTCACAAACTATTTGCCTGGGCTGGCTTTGAACCACAATCCTCTTGATCTCTACCTCCTGAGTAGCTAGGATTACAGGCGTGAGCCACCAGTGTCTGGCCTGTTTTTTATTTCTGACCAAAAAAATACAGTGTTACAATCATTTAAATAAAACCTTACCCCTTTCAAACACTGGATTTTCAGATTAATGATGCTTAACCTGTTCATCCTAATCTGAAAATCCAAAATCTGAAATGCTCCAAACCCTAAACCCTCTGGAGTATAGACATGGTGTTCTGGATTTGGAGCATTTCAGATTTTCAGATTAGTAATCCTCAACCAGTAAAGTCTAGGCAAGTGTTACAAAATGTGAAAAAAAAAAAAAACAAAAAACTGAAATCTAAATTCTGGTCCTATGCATTTTAGATAAAAGATACTTAACCTGAATGCTATAAAATTTGTGACTCTTATCACCCAGTTATCCTTACAACAATATAAGGAATATGGTATCTTTATTCTAATTATTAAGGGGAAATCTAATCATAAAAGGCAGTATTACATAATGGTCAAGGATATGAGCATTGGCATCAAACAGATCTAGATTTGAATTCTACACTTCTACCACTTATTAGCTAGGTAATTATGGGTTCCTTACTTATCCTCTCTGAGGCCAAGTTCCCTTATTTATAAAGTATGCTAAGTAACAGTCTCTAATCTCATAAAATTATTGTAAGAATAAAATAAAGTTATAGACTAGAGGTATAGCTCACACCTGCTTTGCAAGTACGAAGCCCTGAGTTCAAACCCCAGTCCCACCAAAACGGAAAACAAAAACATATAAAGTACTCAGCTCAGACCAAATCTAGATAAATAGTCTAAAAGTGTTTCAATGTATGATAGGAATGTAGCTCAGTGGTAGAATGCTCACTTAGCATGTGCTCGGTTCCATCCCTAGCACCATAAAACTGATTTTATTATACTTTATTTTGAAAACTACTAAATGTATTAAAGGCCAAAGTTAATTTTTATGTAAATTCATTTACTTTAAATAAAAGCCAATTTTAAGACCTAAGATTGTGATACTACAACAATGGCTACTGGGACATTAGGTGTAGAAGAACTAACAAAGGACCTAGATAAGCTAACAAAGAGAATCTTTGTGTCTCTTTATGGTTTAATCAGAGCAATGAAGACTGCTTTCTCCTTTTACATGAGCAATGGGAAAAACTGAAACCCCAACATGGTTGCTATTATAACATGAAAGTAGCACGTATTGCCATGTCTAAGAACACAATATATACAAATATAATATTCATGGTGTTACATGAGTCCAGGGATGAACTCACCCACAGGGAATTTGGACAAGTAGTCTATTTATTATGCTGCACTTTTTGCATCTTTCTAGGAACTATTAAGGATAGGACAAGTTTAATAAAGCTTCACTATATGTCTGACCTGAGAGAAGAAAATCTTTTCAGCTGACTCTTCTCTCTCCCCTGTAGTTGCCAAGACACTGAGAGCTCTTGCTATGAAGCACCCATTGTCACTTCCTCCCCTGGTGTCCATAAACTAATGTGGTTCCCAAGCACTACCTTGTCAGCTGAGGGAGGGCGCCCCCCTGTGATGGGAGGCAAGCTGAGGGCTGCGAAGGCTGCTGCGATGATTGTTGCTGCCGCATGCGATCCTGCAGGCTCCGTGCTTTTCGAATACTGATTTGCAACTTCTTATCGACTAGGGCTCTGCTGTGTGTGCTAGAGCTGGCACCATGCAGGGCAAATCTTAGTTTAGCTAAAATGCAAAAGAAAATATAGCAGGAACAGAACACAAAATACAAACAAAATAAAAAGAACAAAATTGAACCCAAAACAAGCAAAGATATGCAGTAAAACTCAAAATATGCAACAGGAATGCAAGGCATGGACCATGCATATGCTGTCCAGGGCTGAGAGCTGGTGCTGGCTGTAAGGAACATTCATCAAAGCCATGAAGGCGAAACAGGTTAATACAAATTAAAAAAAACAAAAATAGCAATGAAGAAAAAAAAAAAAACTAAAATGAATCAGGAAAAGAAACTAGTGCTTAGAAACTGCCACTCTTGTCATTCTTTCCAACTGAGCTGTTCAACTCTGCTCTCCACACTCTGCTCCCAACTCCCCCTCCCTGATGGCTAACAGCAGAAATAAGATCCAAACCTGCATCTGTCTTTACAGAGCATAGCTTCTCATGGGTCACATTTAATAGTCAGATATCAATTCTAAGCCTTAGTCCCTTGCTATTAAATAATGGTGCTATATACCAGGAAGGCAGGGGAGAAACAAAAAGAATAGAATATTGCAGTGGAAAGTTACTGGCCTGGGAAGTAGAGTCAGTGTACTCAATTTTCTTATCATAAGCTCCAACTCACTAGCTAGAGACTAAAGAAAGAACAGACTATCTTCATATCTACTGTCTAACTTTATCTGGGGATAAGAAGGTAGGCATGGCTTCAGAATTCATCTGTGGATTCCTGCTGAGGTTATTTCAGTAAATATCCACAGGCTACAGTGCCAGTGCCAGTGCCAGGTACATTTAGAAATCTGAAGGACAAAGACAGCTAAAGTGCCTCAGTTTGGGAATGTGAGAGGAAACAGATATAAAAACTATTCATATGGTCATCTGTGTGACAACACTCATAGCTATTGTGAAGTTAGTCAAAAATGCCATAGCCATAGCAGTTAGAGTTACTTACAGATAGCTTCATTACAGAGAGCCAAAGCTGCAGCACAGTCTCCCTTTTGTTCCAGATGCAGGGACTCTTCAAACACTGAATTTGCCTCTTGCAGGGACCTCTCAAAGCCGTCACTCCTCCCTGAAAGGGCCAGCACTTTTCATTTTCATTACAATTAATTCCAGCTTCTCCTGTGTACTGTTGCTTCCCTTTGATACACACAAATCCACTGGTCTACTCTCATTCCCACTGTCACAGCTATTGAAAAGTCTCTGAAACAAATAGGGCATCCATTTTTGCTTTAACTAAGATTTTACCAAGGCCATGAGAGAGAGGTATATTATTGCCAGCCATATATTCTAACTCCTAGACTTCTCAAAGAATCTCTAAAAGAAAGAACAAAGCATTGTCTATAGCAGCAAAGTCGTTTTTATGCCTACAACTGAACTGCTCTTTCACAGTGTAACAGGATACCTACAGCTTGTCAACCAGTGCTAGAGTGTGCCAGACTTCCAGTGTTGTTACGTCAACAATGGCTTCACTATTCTTTAGAAAGTCATCCATACCAGTTCTTCCCTACATCAATTCACAATCCTCTCTGCACCACCCCAAACTAGAAACTCAGTACACCTCTTAGGCACAGGTGGTCTACAGTTTCTACCTCAATGTACCTACCACAGCAGTTGAACTGGGTTTATTGTTACACCAACATACCTTTCATGTGCACTGCTAAGTATTAATTTTATCATGCTCTTGCTCAACAAAACTATCCCCAAAAAGATACCATCCCACATAGCAAGCATGTAATATTCCTTCCTCCTCTCAAAGTGAATGTGTGTCAAAGGAGGTGCAGAAGAGACCAAGCACAATGCCAGATGAAAAGACTAGGGAGTACCTATAGCAAAGGCATTCACAAGATTATGGGCAGAAGGGAAATCAAAACATCTGAGTCATTTCTCCTCAAATGTCTTCCTACCCTCATCCTTTACTTGCCACCTCCAACCAGACATAAGAAAAGCTCTTTCACACCCATAACATTCATTTTCTACTTTATTATAGCTTTTAGAGAGCAATTAGACACAGTGGAAATAGCAGGTTGATTATAAAAAATTTGGCACTCAGGTCTTTCCACCTGTAAAGGTGTGGTTTTCCCATGTTCAAAGCTCTCTCATTATATTTGGAATGAACTGAATCTATACAACTTATATAATCATAGTTGATGGCTAAAACAAAAAAAGTTTTCAGCTGGGCTTGTTGGTGTATGGCCATAATAAAAGTACTTGAGAGGCTAAGGCAGAAGGATCATGAGTTTGAGGACAGCCTTGGCTACCCTTGGTGACACAGCAAACTTTACAAAGATCTGGGCAAACTATAGTTGGTCAATCAGTATATATTAGGCTTAAATTCTTGTCATCCACAATTTTAGCACTCCATTCCTTGCTCTTCCAGGAGATGCTAAATCAAAGTATATATAGAGAATTGACAATGAGACATGGGTCAGTGGAATTCCCTTAATGTACTGCTCAACTGAAAGGAGGAGGAAAAAACAAAGAGAAAAATGCTAAGTCCCTCTTTCAGAAATAATATAAACCTGGAATACCAAAGTGATATGCTCAAGACCAAAAAAGGAAGAAAACACTACCCAAATACAGAGACAACTAAGGAATTAGGATATTAAAACTTATTTTGAAACAAACACATTGGCTAGGGAAATATAAGACAATAATTGCCTTCAATCAAAAGACAGTATAGAGCTGGGTGCCAATAGCTCATGCCTATAGTCCTAGCTACTTGGGAGGGAGAGAGTGGGAGAATCAAGGTCCCAGGCCAGCATGGACAAATAGGTCACAAAACCCCATTTCAAAAATAACCAGAGCAAAATGGACTGGAGTCACCTGGCTCAAGAAGTAGAGCACCTGCTTTGCAAGCACAAAGTCCTGAGTTCAAACCCCAGTCCCACCAAAAAAAAAAAAAAAAAATACAGGGAATAGGGATATAGGTCAGTGGTAGACTGCTTGCCTGATGTGTGAGGCTGTGGATTCAATCCACAGCACCCCAAGACAGTAGGATTAGAGGAGAAAAGCTGCCCCAAAATAAGACTACTACAGCCACAAAGTTACTTTGTGAGTTACAAAGAGAGAAATGGCTAAGAGAAAGTAGTCACCCAAATAACATTATCTCCTATCCTTTATACCACATTAGCATAATTTGTTGTATCTCAGGATTTGTGGCAAGAATGATAAATTCATCTTTAGAGAAAGAAAAGCCGAGATATGTCTCACAACCTATTTAAGGTAGATACTTCAGCCTATTGAACTCCTGTTATTGAAGGCTAGTCTCTTTTGGCACAAAGTGATATCCTAAACAATTTTAGGGAGAATAACAATGACTAATGAGCAGTTAGGGAAGTTTAAGTCAGTGCAAATCATACAAGATTGAAGAATGAACTGTCATGAGATTAAAAGTAAATTAGGAGATAGGTGCTGGTGGCTCATGCCCAAAATCTTAACTACTTGGGAAGCTGAGATCAGGAGGATCAAGGTTCCAAGTCAGCATGGGCAAATAGTTCATGAGACCCCATCTCCCAAATGATCAGAATAAAATGGACTGGAGGCATGGTTCAAGTAGTAGAATGCCTGCTTTGAAACTGTGAAGCCCTAAGTTCAAACCCCAGCCCCACCAAAAAAATTTAAAGTAAATTAGAGCTGGATGTGGTGGTTCATACCTGTAACCCCAGCTACTCAGAAGGCTGAGGCAAGAGGATTTCAAGTTTAAGACCAGCCTAGGCAACAAAAGGAGACCACATCTAGAATAAGACCCCAAATCAAAAACCAAACCAAAAAACAAACAAGAAACAATAAAATCAGTAAATTAGGGGTCTGGAATGTAGCTCAGTGGCAGGGCACTTGTCTAACATGCACAAGACTGTGGGTTCAATTCCCAACGCTGCATTTAAAAAAAAAAAAAGTACATCAGGCTTTATGTTCTCAGCTCATATTTGGCAGATGCTCTTTTTTCAAACTTGAAGGGCATGTTTCTTCCCAGCAAGTAGAATTCCCTTCACTGTCAGTGGGACTCACTGCCCTTTCAACTGTTTCTGAATTGAAGTTTGTTTTACTTACATCTTCTCTAGATATTCATAAATAATATATCTAACCTAAGGCTTCGAATAGATACACCCCAAGTCAGTGCCTATTTCCAATCAATAGGCTTGTTACCATCTACTCTAGCTTTCACTGAAATGGCTGAATTAAAATAAAACTTTGCAAAAGAGAAGAAATTTCCAAGCTTGGATCTTTTTTCCTGTCTTTTCAATCTGTCCCCATCACCCATAACCTAATTCTCACAACAATTACCCTGATTCTGCAGTTCATCCAAGTCCATGAATCGGCTGGGGTGAGGATTAAACCCTTTAGCAGCCTCTAATTCCTTCTCCCTTTTCCTTCGAAGTTCTTGTTCCTGGGCCCTCCGGGCCACCTCTTCCTGCAATTCATCCAGTTCACTTTTAGAAGATGTTTCCCCACCTGGGATATAAAGCCAGAGAGAAAATAAATCACCACATTCAGGAATCAAGAAAAGCATCTACTGAATTTATGGTCACTGTGCCACTTTCCTTTAGAACTCTTGCTTTCAGTTTAAAATTCATATTTTGGATGGTATTTTCCAAATCAGATTCAGCGTGGGACCTGGGCCATGAATTTGTAACAATAACAAATAATTTCTGAAAGCTTCCTAACAAAGCGACAGGCATAACACCTAACCTTTGTTAAGCATATTCAATGTGGTAGAACAATTTTAAAAACACTTTTACATATATTATTTCATTTAATTCTTACAAATGATGAAGTAGATACTACTACTCCCATTTTAGGAAATGAGAAAATTATGGTATAAAAAGATGACAGGTTGTAAAGAGTAGAGCTCACTGCAAGTCAAGTAGGTTAAATTCATTAATCCAGCCTCTTAACCAATAAGGAACTGTCTCTTCAGGTGCTGTTGCAGTCACTTGGGAGCTTCAAGTAAGTCATTTTCTCACCCTTAATTTCTACCATCTTTTTCATCAGTTAGTAAAATGTTCACAGTAGTAAAATTTCACCTTGAAGTGTCACAAATGGATCTAAATAGATTTAGAATGATATTCATAATCAATTGAGTGATAGAATAGTATAGACTATATGGCTTCATTTTATGTGCATACCCATAGGTATGCACTTAAACTTATATATTTGTAAAAGCACAGAAAAAGAGATCAAAAGATGCATACCATAATGGTAACACTGGTTTCTTAAATTTCAGGAGGCAAAAAGGCAGGTCATTAAATTGATGGACTTCATTTACTTGTTTTTTTAAAATACTGATCATATAAGAATGTAACAAGCATTTGATTAGATCAAATTGTGGGGCATACAGAACTTACTATATGAAAAAGATGGTGAGGCAGTATGTTGTATGAAGAATTTTGTCATAACTCTTTGCTAAGTAAGTATCTTTTGCTAGTTGAGGAATCCTAGTGGTGGATTAAATAGGGAAATCATGAGACTCGGTCTTTATTATAATGGAAAAGTGTTAGCTTTCTAAAGAGAAAATAAGCAGCAACAGGCTCAGGTATGATCACAAGCTTCTTTAAAGTAATATTACTCAACATGAAATAAATTAAATTGTGGGAAATAGCCAAATGTATAATTTCGCTAGGAACCATGAATCTTTTTCACCAGTCCTAACTGGTGAAAAACTCTAATTCTAACACAGCATTCCAGATGTATCTGCTTCTAGGCATTGTTCTCCTCTAGCAGACATCAGCAACCTATGGCATACATAACTAAAAGGATGCATGCCTTTTCATAACTGTTGCTACACATTTCCCTTCCAACCACCTCTAAGAACTTTTACTATCAAAACAATTGGAAGTGAGACTAGGATATAGAGGCAGGGATAAAAGATAAGTTTGAATTGATTATTTCCCAGTTTTGCCCATGGCCTATATGTCCCCTTTTTGTATCTCAATTTATAGTACTAATTAATGGGACAAATTCTTCTCAGGAATGGAGTTGTTATTACCACCATTCACCATATTTCTGTCCCATCTTGTTCCCATAAGGGCTTTCTCCAAGGTAAAACATTCAGGAAGGCTCTTATAGAGAACAACAACAAAAAAAAAACAAACCAGAGATATCCAGAGATGAAGCAGCTGAAATGCCTCTATATTTATATTTTGATGGAATACTCAGACTGCGATTGTCCTCTAATTTCAAATGTGCTCAGGTAAGGTGGTTCCCCAAATAGAACTGGTGGTCAAATTCCGTTCCCCAAATACATTATCAGCTTACCGGAGAGGGGTTGAGTCTTTGTCCAGCCACTCACAGATGCTGTGGAGTCCCCTTCCAAGATACTACTGCTGTGAGACTTCGGGATATGACGCCAAGAAGGGACAAATCCAGCTGATCTTTTAGCACTTGGATCCCTTCAAAAGAGAACCCAAAGTATAAAAAAAGCATCAGAAAGGTGGCTTCTAGGAATATTCCTAAATTTCCTCAACAAAACATCAAACTAATATAATTAAAACTTCTGGGAGTCAGGTGTCATGGTATGCATCTGTAGTCCCAACTACTCAGGAAGCTGAGGTAGAATAATCATTAGGCCCAGCCTGTGCATTATAGCAAGAACCCATCTCCAAAAAAAAAAAGCCCTTTGCCAAATTACTTCTAAAAAATTGAAATATCCACTCATTTTCCCGTCTTACCTCACGTCATTCACATCTTGTGTATATCCAACATAATGGTATCTTTATTTTGTTCTACTTCTTTTTTATTTAGTTTTTATTCCAACACAGTAGTATCTGGCATGCAGTAGACGTTCAAAATCTAATAAATGAATTAATGAGCCAACATACTGCTCTCATATATATTGTTTTACTTTTTCTTAATAAATTTCCCCTTTTTTCTTTATGCAGTGCTGAAAATCAGACTCAGAGCCTCACACGTTAGGCAAGTGCTTTATCCACTGAGTTATTTCCAGCCCAATTATTAAACTTTTATAGCATCTTTTTATAAGTAAACTGAACAAGGTCCTGTGCCCAGTGGGGAAGAACAGAGGGAAAGAATGATGATGTGGTATCACCTTTATAGAAAATATAACTATTCCTTTCAAAGTAGCTACACTGTTATGAAAACTGCTTCTGTGGCAACTTAGTAAAAACAATGTACAGAGGTCTAAAACAATGTGTGGAGAGTAAACTGAGCCCTTCTAACAGGGTTATAATGAGTTCTATTAAACTGTCATCATTATCTTATGTTATTATGAATATTGCTGTCCTCAAAAAACATAAGACTCTCCAGTGATCCAAGACAAAACAAACAAAAAAAAATAAAAGCTACCTCAAAAGAGAAAGCAAAAATAAGTAACATTTGGGTTTCTTCAATTTTGAGATTATAAGATTAATTCACTAATTCATTCTTTCACTAACAACTATTTAGTGAACAATTTTTAAAATAAAATTTTAATAAGCTAGGTATGGTTGCAGCACCTATAATCCCAGCTACACAAGAGGCATAGGTAGGAGGACCTTGGTCCAAAGCCGACCCCAGGCAAAAACATTAAGAGCCTATCTAAAATATAACTAAAGCCAAAAAAGGGCTAAGATGCGGCTCAAGTGAGAGAGCAACTGCCTCGCAAGCATGAGGCCCTGAGTTCAAACTCCAGTACCATTAAAAAATAAATACAATTTTAAGATTGTACATAGTTAAGGTATTTAACATATCATGGGGTACGTATAGCTAGTAAAAAAGGTTACTACAAATAAAGTAAAATTAACATATCCATCATCTCAGTTACCCTTTTTATGTTTTTGTGAGGAAAAACAGCTAAAATTTCACTTAACAGCAATTCCATATACAGTACTACTTTAATACCTATATCCTTAATGTTGTAATCTCTATAATTGTTTATTTTACATATCTGAAAATGTGAACCATTTCACAAATTTGCACATCACCTTTGCTCAACTATGTTAGTCTTTTCTTTCTTTTTTGGGGGGGTGGTTTGACTTAGGACCTCACACTTGAGCCACTTAAGCAGGCACTCTACCACTTGAGCCACTCTGCCAGCCTTGTTTTGTATTGGTATTTCTGATATAGGATCTTGTGAGCTATTTGCCCAGTGCTCGCTTTGAACCACAATCCTCCAGATCTCTGCCTCCTGAGTAGCTAGGATTATAGGCGTGAGCCACCGGCACCCAGCTTGTTAGTCTTCTCTGTATTGTTCCAATTTTAATATATGTATTGCTGAAGTGAGCTTTAAACAATTATTTTATACTTAATACTTGAAATTAAAAACTATCTCCTTTCTCAAGGGCTTTTGCACCTCCTCCCAGCAGAGGGTGCTGCTGTTACAGAAAGTTGAGCAAACACACAGACAGATAGTGCTGAAGCTTGTCTAAACCAAAGAGGTGGCTTACATTGCTGTGAGGGACAATGCCTCTATTCAGAGGCCAAAAAATACCTGCAAATATTTGAGCTCTCTGGCAGGGCTGCATCCAGGCTGACAGGGCTGCTGCTGTTCCTCTCACTGCTCTCATAACCAGATTCCATTCGCTGGATTAGGCGAGGATGCTGTTCTAAAAAGTGAGATCCCGGCCGGGCTGGTCCCCAGGGCTTGTACTTGGAGCTTGGTCCACCAGCTTTTGTGTCATAAGCAGATGGCTTGCTTAATTCATCTGGTACAAATTCTTTGACTACCCAGATCAAAGAACAGTGTGGAAAAAGAGATAGATTTAGCATTTGCCTAAATCAAGACCTAGCTAACCTCTCCCTCCAGATATTCCTTAAACACATATGCTCAAAAGGCCTGACATCAGAGTAAAAATGCTCCTTGCCAGATCAATCAGAAAACCCAGGTTTTTTAAAGACATAAGTCAACTTTATTTGAAAGTCCAATTCTTCTCTAATTATCACCTCACCTGAATCCTCAGAAAAGGGACTAAGCTGGGTATAGCCACAATGCTTCCTTTTGTCCTTACTAAAAATACTGTCGATATTCAGAGACTCTCGTTTGGGTCTCCATGTTGGACGATACTTGCTGGAAGAACTGGATTTTGACTCACTACTGGTACTCTCCATTTCCCAGTCACAAGAGTGTAAAGGCAGGTTCCTAGGAGGTTTCTTGTCAGACTGGTCTTCTTTTTTTCCCACACAGGGAGATCCTACATTGGTCTGAGAAGCGAGAGATGGTCTGTTATGGATCATGTTGCTGACTGTCTCTTTAAAATCCCTTAGCCTGCTGGTGCTGCTAGATGATTTGGAGGCATTCCTAGGAGCCTGTTTCTCTTTCAGTGTTTCCCCTAAAAACATAAAGAATGAAACAAATATAGATGCTTAAACGAGTACAAATATCTAGATCCTAAAGTCTAGAAAGCAAGAAAAAACCCTTTGAGCAGAAGGGAGAAGTCTGAGTATGAAAGAAATTTGACAGAGGAAACCAAGAGAAGCAATGCAGAGTAACTTGCCTTCACTGTGGTACCCTGAGGCCTGTGGCTCGTCACCTTTCCTCCTAGCACGGCCAGAGCTCCTCTTGCGCTCTATCAAGGACCCTTTCTTTGATGTGTGTTTCTGATTACATTCACTATCAGTCAGGTGTCCTGAAGGAATAAGGAAATGGCAGTAAGCTGGTACTTTAGACTAACCTCCATCCTCTTGAGAACCTAGTCTCCCTTTGGGACTTGTAGCAGTGCCATAAAATTGGTGTACCCATGGATCAAAAGCTGTAGGAGCCAAGACTGTATGATTTAAGTATAGGAAACTGTCAGTAGATAAATGTAGAGAAGCTCAACTATTTAATGGGCGTTTCCAAATATACAATGTCTCCTGAACAACTGCCAAACTCAAACCACACTCAATCTTTCCTAGTGACCCAGAAATACTAAGGACACAATACGTGGCATATTTTTGTTTGATTCTATAGCAATGGTGATCAAATCTAGGGCCTTGCACATGCTAAGCATACGCTCTACCACTGAGCTGTATCCCCAGCCCTTGGTAATTTTTAAAAGGCAAAAGTTTTAAAGATTATATAAAACTGTTATATACCCACATATTTTCATGCACCTAAATTGAAACCAGTGTTTTCCTTTCATGTATTTGGTAACACATACCACGTAAAGTATGATTTTTGGTACAGTTGATATTATCCTGCATACCCCAACAGCTCTGATTATGGCTTTAAGACCCAATTCTAAATCTTCCTTAAATGTCAGTCACTTAAAAGGACACTTCAACTTTGATTAATTCTCATTCTCTTCTCCAACCCACGCTTCATCAAACCTGACTTCATCCAGAGACTATACTTCATATTTTCTCAATAGTAAACATTGGGAAACCCAAAGGAGCTAGGCTATTTTATGCAACTTTCCCTGTTTCATTTCCACAGTATGCAAATATGTATGAGTATGATTTACATTATATAGAAAAAGTCAGATTAAAAAGGATATAATTCACTAAACTGGAAGAAGCCAAAAGGTGAATTAGGTTTGAAGACAGTCTTAGAGAATAACCCCCTAGGTTCTCAAATGCACTGAGAATTAACAGAAATTTGTTTTCGTATTTTAGTATATGAAAATCCTTGTACATATTCAGGTATCAGTAATGTAGTGATGGGGATATTTATGTTCAACCAATTGCCATATACAAATCTTTTACTGTTATTATCTGTTCCTTTGCTATATCTAGGCCCACAAAATTTAAGAGTAAAAGAAATTACTTGAAGCAACTAAATGTTAACAATGTTAAACAAATGGGCATGTCCCTCTCATACACAAACCCTTAACATAAACCTGACTCTCCTAGAAAATACACCTAGTTGATCATTGGTATGTCTTCTCCCTGGTTCTCTGATTTAGAAATATAGTCTTAAAAACTCCTATCTTAACACCACTTATGCAGTACTCAGCAAAAGAAATCCATCATGAAGCTGGACACAGTGGCTCACACCTGTAATCCTAGCTACCTGAGAGGTAGAGATCAAGAATGTCACAGTTCAAAGTCAGCCCAAGCAAATAGTTAGTGAGAACCCATTTCAACCAAAAAAAAGTTGAGCATAGTGGTATGCACCCGTTACTTTACAAAGCATAAATATGAGGATCATGGTCAAGGCCAGCCTGGGAATAAAAACAAGACCCTATTCAGGAAATAACTAAAGCAAAAAGGGCTGGCTGCATGGCTCAAGTGGTAAAGTACCTGCCGAGCAAATGCAAAATCCTAGGTACAAAAAATAAAAAGAGGGCAGGAGAGAGAGGAAAGGAGTAGTTTGGAAAGGAGGAAGGAAGGAAGAAATCTAACATAAATCTGACCAAACTTGGTCCAACTACCAACTTATAAGAAATAAAACAGAGGGAAGACGTTAAAGTATACTATAGGAATGCTATTAGTTCGAAGCCAGCCTGGGGCAAACAGTTTGCAAGATCTACCTCAAAATACACAACACAAAAAAGGGCTGTCGGAGTGGCTCAAGGGGTAGAGCAATTGCCCTAAGTTCAAACCTCAGTACCACAAGCCAAAAGTAAATAAATAAATAACCTAGCTAAGCATGGTAATACGTGCTTGTGATTCCAGCACTCAAGAGGAGAATTACTTGAGCTCATGAGTTTGAGACCAGCCTGAGTATAATGAGAACTCTGTTCTAAAAAATAAAGATAAAGACGGGCATGGAGGTACAGGCCTGTAATCACAGCACTCAGGAGGCTGAGGCAAGAAGATCATGAGTTTGAGGCCAGTCTGGACCATATGGAGAAACCTTGTCTCCAAACAAAAAAGCAAGATGTGTTGGCATGAACCTATAATCCCAGCAATCAGGAGGCTGAAGTAGGATGATAGCAATACCCTGTCTCAAAAATAACCAATCAATAAATAAACAAACAACCTAAAAGACTTAAATCAACCCATCACAATGTATAAACTTCATTTGGATTTTGAGTGAAACACACAAACTATTAAAAATATAGCATTTTTAAGATAATATTTGAAAAGTTGTTGATTGATTAGTAATTTTAAGGCATCACTACTTTTTCTGTTACTTGTTTTTGGCAGTGCTTCAGACTGAATACGGAACACAGGGCCTTGCACATGCTTCGCAAACACTATTCCTCTTAGCTACATTCCCAGTCCACATTACTATTTTTCACAACTTCCTTTTGTGTGTATGTGGAGGTGCATACTAGGGTTTGAACTCAAGGCCTTGCACTTGCTAGGCAAATACTCTGCTGCTTGAGCCACACCTCCAGCCCTCATTATTATTTTAAGTGTGGTAATAGTATGCTTAAATCTGATTTCAAGATCATGCACACAATAGTATCTCCCACCCATAAACATACCTTCTCTCAAAAGTCCTTCACTCGGAACAAAACCTGGCATGAGAACATGACCGGGCAGAAGCCAAAGTTTAAAGGCTCAATGGAGCACTATGGGGATCATATGGGCTTAATGGGACACTAAGGGTAAGGATCAAAAGGAGAAAGTCAGACTTCAGAATAATCACATTGATAACATATTGCAGTGGTCCTTACTGACGTACTGCTATTGACAGGAGTATACAATGGAGCATATTGTTTATTTAGAACAACACTGTTTCTTTGTATACCACTCAATTACCTAAGTTCTATGCCTTTCCACCTTGCATGACAAACATCTCTGACTTGCCCCAGTTTCTTTTTCTTGGGAGACCCTCTATGCAGAAATTGAATCAGGCAATTAGGGTCCTCTGAGTAAGTCCCTACCTGTGTCCCGACTGCTCTGGGACATGGAATCATTCTCCACATTATAGATGACTGTCCCCTGAGAATCAGAAGAGAAGTGACTGACCACAGACTCATGGTGGGAGTGTTTGTAGGGATAGCTCTCCGTTGAGGAATCTGTTCGAGTGTCACTTGAGATGGAGGGTTCCCTCCCTAAGGGAAGGAGGAGACACATATGCAAAAGTGAGAGGAAAAAAAGAACAGTGACAGAGAAAAAGAGATGGATACATCAAAGGTCCATAAGGCAAGTATTCCTAAAAGGAAGGGTGAGAAGAATATATCACAGTCACTCTTCCCAACACCCAACTTCCAGGTAATCCAGACACAGAGTTCCTCCCATCTCTGCCCTTATCTTGCTGAAGCCCTCATTTTGCCTGTCACCCTGAAAAACTGTGAGATTTTTAGAAAGCCTATGGGGGGTGGGGGTGGGGAGGAGTAGAAGAAATGAAAAGGTTGTAAGGAGTAAGATCTATTTAGATGGAAAGCCCTAGGCCAACCTGTTGTATATACTAGTTGTTCACCTATCCTATAATCATTTCTCCTATACTGCCATGTCACCTTAAAAAAAGTTAATTGAAATTGATGCATTTTTAATATCTCTGAGAAATCTTGGGGCTATTATTTAATCTTTAATGTCAATTAGTTCAGTAGAAGGCTTTCTTCTGAATGCCTCACTGTGATAAGCACAACAGGACAAATGAGTGTTTGACTGAAAGGAGAAGTATAGCAGGTCTTGGGGGGGGGGTGGCGCACAAAAACAAGAAGAAAGCACCAGGGGCCAAGCAGGACAGAGGTGCAAAAGAGAGGAAAAAAAACTATAAAGTCAAAGATCTTCTCTTTCAAAAATATACCAAAGCCATTCTTAGATCCAGAAGAGTAAAAGAACATTCCTTTTTCATGCTTTTCAGAAATCAAGCCAAAAGTACCAGGGTTATATATTTCAAATATTATAAGCCTCTGTGGATTAGCCTGAGACTTCAGCTATCAAGCTGAAAATTGTTTCTACAGAAAAACATTATTTAAGTTCCAAACGACTGACTTAGAAGTGGACAAGTGCTTCATATATTGAGGAATGATTTTTTTGTGGTATGGGAGATTGAACCTAGGGCTTATGAGTACTACAAATGTTCAACCACTGAACAACATTCTCAGCCACTGCATTTGGAATTTTAAAACAAAACTCTCTCAACCTTCGAAAAATGATAAGCTTTGTAATGACTCAATTTTTCTCAACATTCCACTTAAGTCACTGTTAAAATGCTAATAAGAATCAATCATCTTTAATAATATTAGAAGGCTAAATACTGAGTTCTCGCTTACAAACTCAGAATCTCAGAGTAAATAAATGTAATTTCCTTCTCACTTTAGAGTTGGGCCAGCTGATTCAAGCAACACACTCTCGAAGGCTGAAGAAAACAAAGCTTGACAAAAGTTAGTCTTCAGCATAGTTCGCTCTTCTTTCTGATGTCTAATGGAACCTCTTTTTCTAAGCAAGACTATGTGCCAAGCATGTAAGCAGGAGTTCCAACTACCTGATCATGTGAGAAGGGCAGAGGAGAAGAGTAAAGAGCCAGGCTGCTCACCTGAATCTTCACTATCGTAGCATGTCCTGCTGTATGACTGGAACTGAGCATGGGGAGGCAGGTCCTGGGTAGACACTGGGGTACCCTGAGGATCTGCATAAAGCAACAGCAAGGGCTGATAGTGGCCTTTGATGCATTTGGTTACCACATCCTTCCATTTGGGCCCAATCTGAACCAGAAACAACCAAAAGAACATGACGATTATACTTCATATCCACAATTTAAAATACATCTTCCTATTCTGCCTTTTTTCCTTTTTTGGTAGTATTGGGGATTGAATCCAGGGCCTCACACATGCTAGGAAAGTGCTCTACCACTTGAGGCACACCTCCAGTCCTTTTGTTTGTATATGGTTTTTGAGATAGGGTCTAGCTAACTTTGCCCAAGCTGGCCATGAACTCACGATCCTCCTGCCTCTGCCTCCCAAGTAGCTGGGATTACAGGCAAGCACCACCACGCCCAGCTTGTGTGGGAGAATTAGCTAAAAAGACAACAAAGGAGCTCTTAGAGCTAAACTTGATTTTTTTATTAATTTTTTTTAAATCCTTTTAGAAAGCAATAAAATCCTGTAAAAAAAGAAGGATGAATAAAATTACTTTATATCTGTGAAATATCAAGTCAATTTTGAAATAAAAATAAAAGCTCTTAAAGGTGAACATGCTATGTGAGGGGACTTCAGCAAGACAGGTGATTAATTTCTTTTCATATATCACTTGAAATTTGCATTTCCACAATTTTTTCCTATATACTAAAATCACTTTTATGAGGCTAAAGAGCAGATAGGAACTCTCTCACAGGCTACCTTAGAATAAATGATATTTAATTTCAGAGTTCACACATGACAGGATATAAAATGTCAAACTGCTTAGAATAGACTGCTAAACCTCTATCCCTTAGCCCTATGATAGATTTAGCTGTGCTATCACAGTGGAAAAGAGTAACAGAACAGCCATGGGAACAACAATCCAACCAAATCCCCACATTCATTCCATCTTAAGCTTAAACCAGGCAAATTCTTAGATATGAGTTGTGCTGTAGCAACTGGATGCACAGTGCTTCATTCACAATAGACGTTCAGTAAATTTATAACTGAGTTTTCATTATTCTAATTAAAACACATTTATATGCTTTGCACATACAAATCTTATTTACTACTTTGTAAGAGGACTTTTCAAATAAAAAACCTAACGCTCAAATAATTTTACATAAGTTGCCTCAGAGAGAGGGAGAAGACAGAGATAAATAAGGGAATCTGACAAAGACTGCTTCAAGTCCACAGATTGGTACAGTTCCTGTAACTAATTTTTTTTTTTTTTTTTTTGTGGTACTGGGGCTTCAGCTCAGGACCTACACCTTGAGTCTCTCTACCAGCCCTTTTTTGTGATGGGTATTTTCGAGATAGGGTCTTTCAAACTATTTGCCCGGGCCTGACTTTGCACCAATCCTCCTGATCTCTGCCTCCTGAGTAGCTAGGATAACAGGCGTGAGCCACCAGCACCCTGCCCAATAGCTAATTTTATCACAAGGAGCTTTCAAACTCATGTAGATCACCTACACCACTTCAGTCATAGAGTCTGCAGTTAAGATAATACTACATTTCCTGCTGTATCAATATAGCCATTTTCTCCTTATTTTTCCCCTCCCAAAAATATTAATCTTTAATAAGATACTTCCAGTAAATGAGAATTGAATAATTTATAGCAGTCTTGAGACAAAGCATTACTTACTGGTAATTCTGAACTTTGTGTTAACTTTATAACCTAATTTGAGGCATTATACTATTCCCACTCAAGTCAACCAATTAACACACTTTAAAAAATACTTGTCAACTATAAATACAGAACTATGCTGAAATTAGTGAGGGGATTCAGAGAAAATAATAGAAGATATATTGATTCTATCCTCAAAGAAGTAGACATCAGGGAAGACAAGACTTATAAATTTAACAGATAGACATGTGCATAGGTAAATAGAGAGATAGAAAAATACAAAGTTCATCTTACAGATGATGGGAGAGTCACCAGTCAACATTATGAAAATGAAACACTAAAGATAATTATCCATGTTTTATGTTGCAGTCACCAAACACTTCAAGAAAGACTTGAATATACATTCCTACCTCCTTGACATGAGCATCATCAAAATACATCCATTTTCGAATCTTTGTTTGAAAAAAAAAAGTAGAATAATGTTTGCCATAGTAACAGATCATTCCTACTAAGTACAGTTCAGACTGCTTGGCACGGTCATCTGTCACTCTGAAAAACAGCTGTAGGGAAAAAAAAGAAAGAAAGAAAGAATCATAACTTGTTCAACCATCTCACATCATCTCTCAGCAGATTTCATCAATGCTTTTTTGGCAACACTGGGATTTGAACTCAGGGCCTTACACTTGCTAGGCAGGAGGTCTTTACTGCTTGAGCCACTGGCCAGCCCTCTTGAGAACTATTTGCCTGGGGCTGGCTTCAAACTGAGATCCTCCTAATCTCTGCCTCCTGAGTAGTTAGGATTACAGGCTTCGTTTTTTTTTTTTTTTTCCAGTACTGGGGACTGAACTCAAGACCTTGCACATACAAGAAAACACTCTGCTTCTCGAGTCACAACCCCATCCCATTTGGTTTTGTTTCTGAGAAAGGGACTCAATAACTTTGCCTGGGCTAGCCTTGAACTCAAGATCCTCCTACCTCCACCTCCCGAGTAGCTGAGATTACAGGCATGTGCCACTATGCCCAGTTTCCATCAACATTTTCCTCCCGTAAGAAAACAAAGTATTTTATTTAGAACAAATTCACTTTGAAATAAGCTTGGAACGTAACTTCACAAACCTTATTTTCTGGGGAACATTTCTTTTCTTTGAGATTATAGACATGCACTGCCACATCCAAGTTTTAGGTTCATTTCTGATAATTAATCTGTACTAGCCAAACTTTGAAAAACAAAGAAGAAAAGAAGGAATGAGAGAAGGAAGATAAAGAGAGAGGGCGGTAAGGAGGGAGGAAGGAAGGAAAGGTGACAGTGGCCAGTAAACTGACAAGAGGTAATGTTTCTTATACTCTCAATATTTTCTTTTTGAGATCTATCATAAGAGGAGCCAGGAAAATTAAACAAAACCAAAAAAACCCAGCTCTCAAGTTTCAAAGCTTTCTTATCAGCTGGCCCTCACAATTACAAATACCTATTGAGAGGGTAAGAAAGTCCTTTGGAAGAGGAATATAGCCATGCTGGTTATAGCATTTCAATTGCTAAGTGCCCCGCATATTAGGAGATTCACAAAAACATTTGAAGAAAAGGATTTTGGCTTTAAGGAACTTGTTTGGTTGAGAAAAGAATCATAAAAATTAAAACAGGATGGTACAGAATACATAGTCTATAGAAATTTAAGAAATTTCTTGGGAAGAGGACTTTAGATCCCAGATGGTTCCTTTATTCTTTTTTTTTTTTTTTTTTAAATATGGAACGCTTCACGAATTTGCGTGTCATCCTTGCGCAGGGGCCATGCTAATCTTCTCTGTATCGTTCCAATTTTAGTATATGTGCTGCCGAAGCAAGCACTCCTTTATTCTCACTAGTGGCTTAATGGCTTTACAAAACAAAGGCTCTCCTTAGTCATAGGACTATCCCAGAGAGACACTAGTACAAAGTAAACCAGACTTTCCAGTTCTTCTTGAACTGAAAGAAGATGCTGGCTGTATCTGCACTAGGACATTGTGTTGATAAGGTAGAAACCAAGTCTGACATCTTTTCCATTTCCCTAAGTAAATGCACAGAAAACTCCTAAATCTCTAAATTCTCTTCCAAGTTCATTCTCTTCTCAACAGATAATTCCTTACTGTGAATTTTTCTTGGACTCAGGTCATCATCTTTTACTTCCTTCAGTTCCCACAGCAGCTCTAGTCAGGACTGCACGCTCCTTTGACCTAATTACCTCCCATGGTTGAATATACTTCCCCACATTATACTGGTATAAACTAACAATAAGTAGGAGATATAATAACTCTATAAATTAATTGACTGATTTTTTTTTAACCAGTAACTACCTCTTCCCATTCTGTACTTCAAGGCCCAAATCATCCCATTTGCTCTAAAAAGCCATGCTCCCTTCACAAAGGAGATGTATGAGCATGTACATGCAGTCCCATGCATCTGTAGACATTAAGTACAAGCATATCAGCCCAAAACTCTACAATACTTTTATCTAGGACATACTTTTGTGTTCAGTGCCTAAACAATACTAAAACACAGAACTCTAAGTCAGAGATAAAGGTAACTAACACATACATCACCCAGCTTAAGGCAGGTGCCCAGGCTGTGGATGACATCCTCTGCCAAGTCTGAATGGTCCGAGTCCCATACCAGCCCAATTGTGATAATCTGTGGAGCATTCATCAACACACGGCGAATCCGGATCCTCTCTCCACAGTTACTCTGAAACACACATGTAATGCCAATACAACATGTTTCCCACTGGCATGCCTTAATTCTACTGAGCCAAGGTTTTTCTTCTTACCCAATTAACTTACCGGACAGTTCCGCAGGTCCCCCATGGTGCTGGCATTCTGCAACAGTTCACCAAACATGCTTGGTGAAGGTTTTTCTCGTCTTTCCAGCATACAAATAGCCTGATTGCTTCAAGACGGGGAAAGAAGAGAGTGATAGTGGGAGTTGTACTGAGTTATGGCTAAATAAAACAAAATCATTCATGCAAACTCCTAACTCACACGTCTGATTTTCTTCCTCTGCCCACTATACCACAGCCCCTTGTCCTGACCAGCCTCACTTTCTTTCACAAACAGTGAGAGCCTCTTTCTGTCCCAAAATCCAAAGCTCACAGAAACCCCATTTCTCCTCCCACTTTGCTGGCCAGAACTGAGCCTAAGAAAAGAAGAGGGACAGGAGAGGAAAAAAGGAGAACAATGGTTATTTTTAAATGATTGTTCTGAGGTTCTGTAAACTGTTTAGTGGCCTTCAGTTGAAATCCTATCAACTGGAGGAGTGACTAAGGGTATAAAAGAGAATTCTGTAAGACTCACCAAAGGGAAGTAGTAGAAATGTAATGTACCATCTGGATGAAAGGTAGCGGATCAGAAGTGGCACCACAGCTAGTACATACACACTGACCAAGAAGAAAAGGCAACACTAAGCAGCACAGTCATAAACCATTTTGGAACTTATTTAACAACCCACATCTCAGGATTAAATGTCATTGAAAAAAAAAATCTAAGAACAAAGAAATAGGGTTCACCTGTTCAAATAATGTCATTGCAAATTTCTGGTGAGAAATGCAGTGTTTGGCAGTACATATATCCTCTTTGGTTTCATCAGCAATGTGAAAGTGAATTCTCATCAAGAGGTTCTCCTGACAGGGAAAGAACAAAAGTAGTATATAAACAATACTTAATAGACAAATGGACAAACGGATAAACAACTCACCCAGAGAAACAGCAATCCTCCTAGAAAGTAGGAATACCTCTGATTTTTATAACCTTTTCTTAAAAAAATCAAAATCAGGAAATGGACATGAATTTAATCCACAGCTTATTTAGATTTCACCAATTTTACATGAACATACATGTGTGTGCATGTGCGTGTAAAACTCCATAGAATTTTATCACATGTATTGCCATGTAATCACCACCACAATCAACACACAGAAGTTTATCACAACAAGGCTCTTTCAAGTTATCTATTTATAGCCTTACTATCCAACCTGATCCCAAGTCTCTCGCAACCACTAACCTTTTCTCCCGTATCTATCAGTTTGTCATTTAAAAAACATTCTAAAACTGGGATCCTGTATTATACAGCCTTTTGATACTGCATTTTCACTCAGCATTATTACCTTGCGATCCATCAGTTATTGCACCAATTAATTCATTCCTTCTAATTGCTGCATGCTATTCATGATAAACAAGTGCTACAGTTCGTTTAACAATCAGTGAAGGATTGAGTTCCTTCCAGTTTTTGTTTTTTACTATTACGTATAAAGTGTCTATGAACATTCATGTATAGGTTTTGATATGAATGTAAGTTTTCATTTCTCTGGAATACATGTCCAGGAATGCAACTGCTAGACTGTATGTAGTTTGCATGTTTAGTTTTATTGTTTTTTTGTTTTGAGATAGGGTTTTGTGATGTACCCTAAGTTGGCTACAACTCATGATCCTCCTGTCTCCACCTCTTAGGTGCTGGGATTACAGGCATGCACCACCATGTCTAGCTTCAAGTTCAGTTGTTTTGTTTCATTTCCTTGGTGGAACCAGGGTTAAAAAAGAACTTTTTTTTTTTTTTGCAATAATGGGGCTTGAACTCAGGGCCTTCACCTTGAGCCACTCCACCAGCCCTTTTTTGTGATGGATTTTTTCAAGATAGGGTCTCGCAAACTATTTGCCCAGGCTGCCTTCAAACCTCAATCCTCCTGATCTTTGCCTCCTGAGTATCAAATTCAATTTTTTTAAGAAACTATCAAACTGTTTTCCAGAGTAGTTATACCATTTTACATTAGTATCAGCAATACAAATTCTCAGAAATATTCTGTTTTGGCCCTAATTTTGTGATGGTCTATTTATCGCGCTCAAATATTTTTAATGGTTGCACAGAGAGAGTCGAGATTGATGGAAAGAATACAGAAGAGAGTTAGGATCTTTATTAAAGTCACTGGGAACTATGTAGCTATCTATATAACATATCATATTACCTGTTTATTATCTTTAAAAATGGAGAAGTTTGCCAGGAGCTGGTAGCCCATGTCTATAATCCTAGCTACTCAAGATGCAGAGATCAGAAGGATCACAGTTCAAAGCCACCCTGGGCAAATAGTTCGTGAGACCCTATCTCAAAAACTCCATCACAAAAAAGGGATGGCAGAGTAGTTCAAGCAGTAAGAGTGCCTGCCTAGCAAATGTGAGGCCCTGAGCCCAAACCCCAGTGCCACCAAAAAAAAAAGGTAAAGTTCCAAAAACAGTGTGGTCCCCATACCAGTACATCAGTATTAGCATCACCTAGGAAATTGTTAGAGATAGATATTCTTGGGTCCTGTTCCAGGCTACTAAATCAAAAGCTCTGAGGGTAGACTCCAGCAATTTATATTTCAATTAGTCTTGACGCTACTGAAGGAGGAAGTCACTGTTTTATGCAATGATAAGCAGGAAACTACCCTAAATCTGAAGGAAAAATAATAAATTCACTGCAATAGTAGACACTCTAAAGCTCTGAGTTAGAAACTCCTAGTTCTAACTATAAAAATCAGGGCATAGTAAATTTATCGTAAAGTAGTCGGCCCCTGATGGAGACTATCAACAGTCCCACCCCATATCAAAGAGGGCCAGAGGCCAGCACTTACAAAGCATTCTGCAGCATCATCCATAATTCCCAGCTGGAAACGCTGTTCATCCTGGAAAGTCTTTGCCAGAGCACTGCGGAGAGTGTCAGATGGAAGCACTTTTTCACTGCTACACTGAAACTGGTTAAAGATTCCCTGTAGGGAAAAGGTTTAACAAGAGAAAAAGCACAATGTTTCTATTAAGCTTCTACACATCCATCTACCATGTTAGCATCCCTATGCTCATACCTATGGAAGCAAATGTTTTTCCCATGGGTTAGTATGCAAGCAGTTAGTAATTTTTAAAAAACAGAAGAAGAAGAAGAGTTGGAATGAAGGGCAAGCTCTGTGTTAATATATCCTGCATCTGAGTGTAATGCTATCAAGAACAAATTAGGACCCGTTATTATGAATTAATGTAATGCAGTTACCTTATTTCCTATGAGTCAAAAAGAAGTAGAGGCTTAGGTAAAAAAGGATAAGTTACATGTAAATGTACTGACAAATTATTCTCTGGGGACTCATCCCATTAAATCTGCCCCTCTTCTTTTAAATTTTTCAAGTAATATAAAATTACCAAAATGTATTAAGTAGAATGTAACAAGCCAGACATGGTGGTACACACCTGTACTCCCAGCATTCAACAGGCTGGGGCAGGAGGATCAAGAGTTCAGGACCAGCCTAGCCTAAGCTACATAGAGGGGCCATGTCTCCAAAACAAAAGGCTTTGCTGATAATCTTCTCTTGCTGGAAGAACTTGAAGGAAAACAAAAAGGAGTAGGCAATGGTACCATTAGTTAGCTGGGACCTCGAAAATGATGAAGAGGGGTGTGTGTGTGTATGTGTGTGTGTGTGTGTGTGTGTGTGTGTGTGTGTGTGTGTGTGTGTGTGTGTGTGTGTGACACTTACAAGGTGGGTGGACAAGCATGATTACTGGGCCACCAAGGACAAATTATAAAAACAGAATACATTGCCTGAAAGTAGAATGTGGACCTAAATACTCAGAAGTTCTTCCATCAGTTAGATTTGTAATAAAAATCACTATGAATGGAACAAATAATTCCAGTGGAATGGTGGCCACATGAAGCATATCCGTGTTAGCAAAAAGGCAAAATTCACACAGCATTAGAGTTGTACTTCAAGAACTAGCCCAACATGGTGGCTCAGGCCTGTAATCTTAGCTACTTTGGAGATGGAGATCAGAACGATCAAGGTATAAGGCCAACCTGAGCAAAAAGTTAGCAACACCCCATCTCAACATGAAAAAAAGCTGGTGTAGCAGTGAGTGCCTGTAGTACCACCAACAAGGAAGGCTTATGCAAGAGGCAAGAGAATAAGGGTCCAGTCCAACCAGGCAAAACATAAGAAATCCTATTTGAAAATTAACTAAAGCAGAAAGGGATGATGTGTGGCTCAAGTGGTAGAGCACCTACCTAGCAAACCCAATACTGAAACCACCCCCCCAAAAAATAAAAAATAAAACCTATGGCATATAATGACAGCCAAAGAAAATACTAAGCTTCTACAGTCACAGGACAGCTACCAAAGAACAAACATACAGTAATTAATTTGCATCTCAAATTGTCTTAAATCAACAACCTTTGGATTGGTGGAGTGGCTCAAGTGGTAGAGCGCCTGCCTACCAAGTGTGAGGCCCTGAGTTCAAAGCCCCAAAACTATCAAAAAAAAAAAAAAATTAACAAACTTCTACTCATATTAATGTCCTAATTAAATATCACAATGTAAATACCCACACATTTAAGTAAAATAATTCCATCTGGTAAACATGACCTGAACATTAGTAAGAATATAATTTAATATATGTATACCCATTATGTTTTCAGGTAATGGAAGGAAAAATGCAGCAGAATTTTTCTTTCTCTTGTTAAGGGACTATCATTTAAATGTAAACCTGGAGTACTCAAAACAGAACTCAGGTTATAAGACAAAAACATGACAAGAAGTGTCCGATGGTACTGTAAACACATGTGCTTCTGAAAGAGTAAAATCTCAAGAAGGGAAAACAGACATGGCATGCTTTACCTACCTTAATGAGCTCAGTTGAAATTGCTTAAAGTAGCAGATACAATTAATACTATCATAAATCATGTTAACTTTTCAAGTAGTGTGGGTGCTAACTACTAGTAGCTGTTTTTATATCTGTATTTATAATAAAAAGATATTGGGGGGAGGGGTCAATGAATTTGTTAAAAGTTGTTCCTGTGTGTTACATGTAACAGACATGGTATTTGTTTACAGACTTTGTTTAATAAGTCATGCATTTAAGTTTAAGTAAACAAAAAGGAGATAGGTGTATAGTTATGTAATTTTTGAGAGTCTTAAAATGTGGAATGTGCTAGTGCTAGCTATACTCCTGGGAGGCTGAGATCAAGAGGATTGAGGTTCAAGGTCAGCTCAGGAAAACAGTTCACAAATTAGCCAGAGCAAAATGGACTGGAAATGTGGCTCAAATGGTAGAGCACTTACTTTGCAAGCACAAAGCCGAGTTCAAACCCCAGTCTCACCAAAAAAAAAAAAAAAAAAAATGTATAATGTGTCCTGGGGATGGGGGGGAGATACAACAAAAACCAGTGTTATCTACCACCCAGAAATAAACATTCCATTATGTTTACTTCCAGTCTATAAATAAAGCTAAAATATCTTTTTAAAGACTGTCTCACTATCAGCCACTCAATACCATGAGTTTGTTGCATATTCTACTGTTAATATTTTTATATATACATATGCATAATTACACATACTATAATTTGTGTATATGTATTTTCTGCTTATGTAAAAAGTGATTCTTTTCTATTCTTAAAAGTCCCTTTCCTTAGACTCACTCTGTCCCATGTTTTCTTTAATCTCTCCTAAAGTCTTTGCCCTCAGACTTATAGTCCCATGTTCCCTTTTAAAGTCTCTATGCATGAACAACAGGTGTTGGAGAGGATGCGGGGAAAAAGGAACCCTCTTACACTGTTGGTGGGAATGTAGACTAGTACAACCACTCTGGAAAAAATTTGAAGGCTACTTAAAAAGCTAGACATTGATCTACCATTTGATCCAGCAACACCACTCTTGGGGATATACCCAAAAGACTGTGACACAGGTTACTCCAGAGGCACCTGCACACCCATGTTTATTGCGGCACTATTCACAATAGCCAAGTTATGGAAACAGCCAAGATGCCCCACCACTGACGAATGGATTAAGAAAATGTGGTATCTATACACAATGGAATTTTATGCAGCCATGAAGAAGAATGAAATGTTATCATTCGCTGGTAAATGGATGGAATTGGAGAACATCATTCTGAGTGAGGTTAGCCTGGCCCAAAAGACCAAAAATCGTATGTTCTCCCTCATATGTGGACATTAGATCAAGGGCAAACACAACAAGGGGATTGGACTTTGAGCACATGATAAAAGCGAGAGCACACAAGGGAGGGGTGAGGATAGGTAAGACACCTAAAAAATTAGTTAGCATTTGTTGCCCTTAATGCAGAGAAACTAAAGCAGATACCTTAAAAGCAACTGAGGCCAATAGGAAAAGGGGACCAGGAACTAGAGAAAAGGTGAGATCAAAAAGAATTAACCTAGAAGGTAACACACATGCACAGGAAATTAATGTGAGGCAACTCCCTGTACAGCTATCCTTATCTCAACCAGCAAAAACCCTTGTTCCTTCCTATTATGGCTTATACTCTCTCTACAACAAAATTAGAAATAAGGGCAAAATAGTTTCTGCTGGGTATTGAGGGAGGGGGGAGAGGAAGGGTGCGGAGTGGGTGGTAAGGGAGGGGGTGGGGGCAGGGGGGAGAAATGACCCAAGCCTTGTATGCACATATGAATAATAAAATAAATAAATAAATAAATAACGTCTCGGTGCTCAGACTTGCACTGTCCCATGTTTCCTCTAATCTCTAGCATAACTCAGCAGCAGCAGCATTCTGTGACAGTCCCCTCGCAAATCACCAACCAATCAATCCATCCCCCATCAAAAAAACCACCATGTCCTCCTTCAGAGTCTTTTATATCAAGTGGTAAACAAGGAGGTGAAGCAACAGTTCTCTGGAGGGGCATGACATTGTAACAATAGAAACCTGCTCTCCACTTCTCTGAACATAAACAACTTAGGAAAAGTAGTTTTGCTGCATTTTGCCTTCCCTCTCTTCAACTGGGGCCTTGCCAAACTCAGCCTGTAGATCATTGAGCACAACTGTGTTTATGTCAAGTTCTCATAGGCTTCTCATAATCCACTCCCCACACTGTCTGACTCTACTCTAGAATATAAGTATTAGAATATAAATTTTTGCTCTTTTATTCCCAGTATGCTCCTAACACCTAGAATGGTGCTAATATAAAAAGGGCAACCAATATCCATGTTTTTTTAATAAATCAATCAACCAATCATGCAATCATGTGATGTGGATAGATCTCATTAAGGGAAGGGATATTACTGAATCCCTTCTCTTTTTTTTTTTTTGGTGGTTTGAGCTCAGGGGCCTTGCACTTGTTCTGTAAGAACTCTTACCAATTTCAGTCACATCTTCAGCCCATTCTCTCTCCTTTTTTAAAAAACAAAGAAATCACATAGAAAAGCTGAAAAGAAGTTGGGCGTATTGGTACATTCCTGCAATTCCAGTAAGGAACTGCCTTAGAAGGCTGAGGGAAGAAAATTTTGAGTTCAAGGCCAGTCTGGGTTACATAGTGACTTGGGGAAGGGGGGGCAGTGGAGAGGGAAAGCTCAAATGAGTTGTGCTGATTTTCAAGTCAAATTGTTTTCCTCATTCTACCCTCTCACTAGCACCTTTCTTCCTCATACACATTGAATATCCATTCCTGTTCGTGAGGAGCTCCTCAAGAATAGATTACGAGTAACTTGCTATTATTTCCTTACAACAATTCCATATGATGTAGAAGAGGCAGTGCCAGCAATACATATATAGTATTATTTAACAAGCTGTGTTGACCCAAGCCTTGTATGCACATATGAATAATAAAATAAAAAAAAAATAAAAATAATAAAAAAAAAAACAAGCTGTGTTACCCTACAGCTTATCTACTATAATGACTCTTAAGTTATTTCAGATCAACTTGGGATCTATTTACAAGTCTCCTAGAGAGTCAGGTAAAGGCAGGGCCGTTACAAAGACA